GACCAAAGTTGGTCGCTAATTAGCGACCAACTTTGGTCTCTAAGGTAAAGGGACCAGCAAAATAGCGACCAAGCCAGTTTGGACGCTTTTTGGTTGCTTTTTGACCTGTAAGCGACCAACTTTGGTCGCTTTTTGTGGTCGCTTTTTTCCGGATTTCTAGTAGTGAATTTGGGCAAGCCCGCACGGTTTTTCCCAGAAGGCTTCACCATTAAAAGTATTCAACTCCTTATAAGTAGAATTTTTTCCTATTTACTTTTCATGTGGGACTTTGTTCACGTACACCAATTTCTTTTTCCTTTTTCTCTCTTTGGACCATTTCCTATAAAATAATTATAACAGAGTAAAGATAAAAAGCCAAAATCGGCTAGCTGAGTATCTCGTCTTTGTGGAGGTGAATAGTGAACCACTTGCTGAACCATGAACATCCCAAGCTAATTATGACTTGTAAGATCATAATATCGTTGTAGATGAGCTAGTGAAAATTGAACTGTAGCAAGTGATATACACCACATGTGGGCATGCCCCATAATTGACTTATAGACTAGCAAAGAACGAAAATGCCCCATGCGTATGAGTTGTTTGTTGGTGTTGCTATCTAAGGTTCACTATAGTCAGTGGTTGCACTTAATTTGGAGATCAACGTGCTGCATGTTCTTTATCTCAATAATTTAGTGAAATCATATGCTCTTTCTCTCAGCTAACGTAACTGAGTTTGTAGTCCTTGTCCTTGAGGGTGTTTGTGGAGTTGAATAGTGTTAGGAGATATAATAATGTAGAGAATTGAATTAGCTTCAACCGTGTGAATACTTTATTTTTGAAGATATTTCACCCGCAGCATATTCCCCAGGATTAGACAAGTCAACTTTTTTTTTTATGATTGTAATGTTCAAGCTAGTTTACGCGCGTAGCTCAATTATTTCATAGGATATCAGCTAACTCCAACCAGCACATGTAAAAAAAACTCCGTCAGCCAAATTTAGAAAAGATAGTCCAAAATACCATGAATATATAGGCTTATGTTGTACTGGCTAGTTTGACAAATTTAATAATGTACCGGTAAGTTCAAGGTAAGGCAAATAAAATTAAAAAGAAATGAATTAAAATAATAATCTTTCAGAAGGTGATTTGGATCAAGCCTCTTATCTTTTCCGCGCGCAGGGAGGGAAAATCAACTCTCTGTGTTGCAGTAAAATATTGGTTATTTTTCAATGATTTTGCAAATATAGCTATTTTTGAATGATCAGTCCGAAAATTGGCTAGCTCGTGCTATTTTTACCATTTTGCCTTGCCGTCCAACTCCTGTGCGCATGAGCCCAATTTCTTTTCCCTGCTCTTTATTAAACCAATAGAAGTTGGGTGTGATGACCCAAAATGTCATCTTGCGTTTTAGAACCCAATTCGGTGTTCCGAGGCCTTCAAAACCTCATTTTATTTTTTCTCAATTTGCATGCGCAATCCGGGCGCATTTTCGGAAAGCCTTTATGTGGAAATTTGAGAACAATAATAATTTTTGCCTTTAAAAGTTGATTTAGTTGACTTCGGTCAACGTTTTGTGTAAACGGACCCGGACTCGTATTTTGACAGTACCGGTGGGTCCGTATTAAAATATGAGACCTGGGCGTATGCCCGGAATCGAATTCCGAAGTCCCTATCCCGAGAAATGAAATTTTGATGAAAATTGTAAGACTGAAATTCTAATGATTTAAAGAAATTGATTAACGTTTGATCTCATTGGTATCGGGCCCGTATTTTGGTTCGGAGCCCGGTTCAGGTTTAATAAAATATTTAAGTCATGTCTGTGAAATTTGGTAAAAATCGGAGTTGATTTGACGTGATTCGGGCGTCCGGTTGTGAAAATAGGAATTTCAAAGTGTTCTTAAGAATTTCATGTGTTTTGGTGTTAAATCCGTAGTTTTAGATGTTATTTTGGTGATTTGATCGCATGAGCAAGTTCGTATGATGTTTTAAGACTTGTGTGCATGTTTGGTTTGGAGCCCCGAGGGCTCGGGTAAGTTTCGGATGGGCTACAGAGTGATTTGGACTTAAGAAATTTTGCTGGTACGCTTCAGGTCTGCAGACTTTGCATTTGCGAAGTCTGGCTCGCAAATGCGAGCCTAGCATTTGCCAAGAAGTTTTGCATTAGCGAGCAGAAGGGCTGGGGAAGGACCTTCGCAATTGCGAAGCTCAGGATCGCAATTGCGATAAGCACAGGCCGCATTTGCGAACAATTGTTCGCATTTGCGATGGCATCAGGCCCAAGACATTCTTCGCATTTGCAAACCCCTGATCGCAAATGTGATTCCTGCAACTGTTCAAAAACGATTTTGGACGGGATTTTTCATTCATTCTCCCATTTTTCAAAATCTAAACCTCAAGAGGCGATTTTCTAAAGACCATTTCTTCCCCAAATCATAGGTAAGTGAATCTTAACTCATTTCTTTCAATCTTTCACTTCTTTTAATAAGATTTCAACCTAGAATCTAGGATTTTCATGATAGAATTGGGGATTTTTGGGTAGAACTTAGGAATTTGGAAATTTGGGGATTTAGACCTCAAATTGAGGTCGGATTCCAAAACCAATTGTATATCCGGGCTTGGGGGTGAATGGATAATCGGGTTTTGGTCCGAATTCGGGTTTTGACCAAGTAGGCCCGGGGTCAGTTTTTGACTTTTTGGGAAAAATATTGGAAAACTTATAATTATGTATTGGAATTGATTTCTTTAGCGATAATTGATATTGTTAAGTTAATTATGACTAGATACGAGTGGTTCGGAGGTGAAAACTAGAGGAAAAGCAGTAATTGAGCGTTGAGTTGGCTGTTAGACTAAGGTAAGTGTTGTGTCTAACTTTGACTTGAGGGATTAGGGATCTCCGACTTATTTGCTATGTGGAAATCCATGTGTGTGGCGTATAGGTGAGGTGACGAGTACCTATGCGCCGCCAAATTATCTGTTTAGCCTGTTTCTTTTCCCTTTCTTAATATATTGTCTTCCTGTCTTAACTGCTACATGCTCAATGGTGTTTCCATGTTTAATTGCTTCTTGTTAGATGTTGTTTTTTTTTATTGAAGGTATTAACTATTCCGTAGTTTCATTATATTTCATTATCGGTTTAAGTTGGTTTTGTCGGTGTTTTCCTGGTATACTTTGGTTGGTCTCGCTGTGTAGTATTAATTGAGAGAAGTTTCATAATTGTATGGCCTTCTGTTTGCTCTGGTTTGAGGCTTAAATATTATGGAGGGTTATGAACTAAATTGTGAAATTCCTGTTCTTTTTGTGTGATTGGTACTGATATGGTGGGATCGGGTTGCACGCTGCAATAGGAGGAATAAGGATGATATATTGAGGAGGAATAAGGGTGAAATATGATTGTCTGGTGGGATCGGGTAGCGCGCCGCAACAGGAGGAACAAGGGTGGTATATTAAGGAGTAATAATGGTGGATTGTTATTGTACGGTGGGATCGGGTTGCGCGCCGCAACAGAAGGAATGAGGGTGGATTGATACGAAGTAATAAGGGTGAATGTTCATATTGTTACTGATTATATGGTGGGATCGGGATGCGCGCCGCATCAGTTTATTGTTTCTGTATCCTTCTTTTGCTGTGAATTTATTCTATAGTTTTGCATCTCACCTAAGGATTTGTTATAGCTGGGTATTGATAGATATTGGATTTCTGTATTCATTTTGCTGCAAGTTACTGTTTCATTTTGTTCCGTACTTCTTTTTCGCTCTATTATATACTGTATGCAGCTTATATTGTAATTGCCCCGCCGTAGCCTCGTCACTACCTCGTCGAGGTTAGGCTCGGCACTTACAGGTACATGGGGTCGGTTGTACTGATACTGCACTCTGCACTTTCTGTGCAGATTTTGGACCTGGTAGTGGCTGATTGAGAAGTCGGTTGCAGACATTTCATCTAGACGACCCAAGGTAGTCCTGCTAGCGACTGCAGACCCTGGCGTCCCCCCCCTATGTTTCTACATTCCTGTTTTTCTTTTCTTTCGAGATAGATGTAATTTCTTACAGACCAATATTTGTAGTAATTCGTAGTATGTTCGTGGATTGTGACACCAGACTCTTGGTAGTAGTAGTAGTAATAGTTACGGTATTCTGAATAGACAAAAGGTTATTTACGTATTTCCATTTTTAATTCTACTCGATTTAGTCTATTAAATTTTAATATATGAAATGTAAAGGAAAAAGGTTAATGGAACTCTAACATTGGCTTGCCTAGGGAGTGCGATGTTAGGTGCCATCACGGTCCCGATGGTGAAAAATCCGGATCGTGACAAGTTGGTATCAGAGCTCTAGGTTTCCTAGGTCTTACAATTCATGAACAAGCTAGGTAGAGTCTGAGGGATCGGTATGGAGACGTCTGTGCTTATCCCCCAGAGGCTACAGAGTTTAGGAATAATTTCACTTCTATTCTACTCTGTCCACTACAACAAAAATGGTCTTTAGCGGCAATATATTATACATTTAGCGGCAATAAAAATTGCCGCTAAAACCTTTACCGGCAATTACTTATTAGCTGTTGTATCCAGCGTCGCTAAAAGTTTTAGCAGCAATTCAACCAAGTGCTGGTAAAGACACAAATTATTGCCGCTAAAAGCTATTTAATTTGGCGGCCATTATTTACTGGCAATTAAAGTGGCCACTAAATTCCCCTAAGAGTACTATTAGATAATACGTTGCTTATTTCCGGCAAAACCATTAGTTTCTGGTAAAATATACTTCTTTTAGCGGCAATGGTAATGATAATGGCGACTGTAACTATTCCTAAAACACCTTTATTTGTCTTTTATATATGACAACGATCCATTGTTCCATCAATTTTATTGCCAAGAAATGTTTGCCTATTTGTTATTCAAGTTGATCCAAATATTATCAATATAATAATACGTGACCAAAAAAATTACATGAAAATACACAAAAGTTTGTACTAACAAACTAATATACATTCTAAAAAGCACTATGTATTTCATTAAATCCACAACAAAAAAACTTCAAATACATAGTTTCAAAGTGTGAACATAAGAGAGAAAAAAAAACTTTTTGAATTCAATTTCATTTCAAGTTTAACAAGTATCTCTTCAGCCCTCCACTATAATGAAAGTCTTCCACAGGTGTTCCAGCTTGAATATCCATTTATGCACCAAAATAATAGGCCAACTAACTTACATCTCAATCTTCTTGCAGATCTGAATCAACATTTGAGGAGCTTCACAAGGCTAAAATTATACTCTAAAAGATCTAAAAAGAAGAGCTCCAAAGAATGAGCACATCCACTACTAGTTGTCAGCACCGCGCCAAGCATGTTTGATGCTCATTGCCAGATTCAACCATAGCCCAAACGAAAGCAACATCCATGATTCTTGTTAAAGGTACAGATGCAATGAATTCTGTTTAAAATAAGGTAGGCACAGATGCATAAAACTTCTCTAAGTAACTCAGAAAGCATTAGATTTACACAAACTATCATCCATTAAAGTAATATGATATTCATCTAGTTCAACTAACTAAGAAGATGGAACTTTAAATTGAAAAAGCTAAACATATGGCTTCTGTACCTGGAAAACTGTGCTTGAAGAAGAATATAGTTGTAAATTAAGCAATAATATACCTGTAGACCCAAATTTGAAGCCCGACGTCAATGGTTTTGTGATATAATGGAAGAACTAGTTTCTTTGAGTTGGACCAATAACAGAAGATCGACATACTGAATGAAATATGAAATATTATTATTAATTTCTTAGCTTTATACTTTCAAGTCATAGGTGAAGTAGGAAGATAATTTTAAGGTAAAAAAGACAAAAGTTTTGAATACTTGTAGATGCTCCAGTTCTTGAGGTGGTCAGCATTCCTAACATGGAGAGCCTTTTAAACGTTATACATGGAGAGCCTTTTGTATATCAGATGACCGCTTGTCTCAAAGCATAATATACTAGACCCTTCTAGTCCTCCGCATCACAGGCTTCAAGATTACGCAGCTGCACCACAACAAAAAATTTTAAACTAAGTTACCTATCAAATGTAAATAGAAAATAATAAAGGGTCTCTACTTTAATTTTTAGGAGACATGTAGACAAAAATCTAGTGCTTTCTTATCTTTTTTGTTTATGGACAAGTTACACACGGTTAAGCTTAGAAAATTGTGTATTCTGCGGTTTGAGGGCATTAACTTTATAAGATGACCGTTGAAAATGTTCATAGTTTAATATACTTTATACATCTGCATAAAAATAAATTCGATTTGTTAGTAGGAAAATTGAAAAAAAGTTTGTTTACATTATAGAATGATCAGATGTGGGATAAAGTTTACTTAAAAATTTGAAACTTATAGAGTGAGCTCAATTTAAGGATCCAGCCACTAGCAAATGGGTTTCAATTTAACTCATTGCTTTAGACTGAACCATGCACGTGTATATACAAACATAAATAAACTAAAGATAATGTGCATATAGTAGATCAAAGCCACTCCAAATCTAGCCACTTGAAGTATCAAATTCATTTCTGTTTAGATATAGGAGCTATATGGGATAAAGTGATAAAAATTTCAATTTTGGAAAGATGGACACTATTTCGAAGTTCAAATAAGGATGACGATGTCAACTTAAAATTTAAAGGGTACACAATATGTATTGTCACTTAAAAAGTGACAGTAGACTAAATGGAACAAATCTTGAATTATTTACTCGGTAAATTATAATGGATATTAAAAATAAAAATACATAATTCATTAATTGATCATACAAGATCAATAGTAGTAGCAACTCCCAATTGATAATGCTGAAAGTCTATTCTTTGATGTCAATACTGAGAAGTTATTTTTAGAGTATATGTACGACGCTAACACGAACAACCGAAAAGGGCATTTGAAATTAAAAAACTTACAAATACAAGCTCATCGATACATAATCTAGTTGATGAACACTTAAGCATCTATGCAGTATTCTTCAAAGTCTCTTCCAATATGAAGCAACTACTCAATATGAGGAACTGCATTTTTGAATTGTCTGCGTAAATCAATGGACGAGAAGAGGTCAGGTAATAGAAGAATGAAAAATGAACTATTGAATTATCAAAGATTTTCATACAACACCACATGATAACCCTAGTCAACTTCTATGTCTTTCTTAGCAATTTTCGCACATTGCTAATGTACGCAGGTTCTGCACATTGCTAATCAACAGATTGATGAAAAACTAGAATCGACTTGATTCAAAATAAAATGATTTATGTCGCTGATAAACAAAAACCACAAAGGTTTTGAACGACATACCTTTTCTTTTGTTAGAAATGATAAAACATAACATCCAACGGTGCGACGTAAGAGTTATGAAATCAAATTTATATACATCAGTAAAAATTTAAAAAAATACAGCATCAAAAAGCATTTCCAATAACAAGAAGATAAATACCTAGTATTTTGAAACAAATGCAACAAATAATTTTAAATTTCAGCAATTATAAATGACAATGGAGTTTTCTCTGATGTGCCACAAGTAATATATCATAGACAACCTTCAAATACACTAACAATTTAACTAATGATTTCATAGATAAAGAGTCTCATAACCCTGATGTGACCAGCAAGGGTAGAGGAAAAAGTTGAATATATAGTTATATCACTCTAACTTCATCCTATATCTGAAATACTTAATGATCAGCTTAAGAGTTCTCCTATTTACCATAGAATTTGATATACCCATAATATGATAAGAAAAAATATTATAAATTGATCTATTGTTCAAGCATCTCAATAAAACAATGTAAGAGAAATAACTACTCCTAAAATTATACGGGTGAATTCTAGATTGAGAAACAACAGATTTATGTTAAAAACATTGAAACTATTCCAAACCTAAAATCAAAAGATAGAAAATCAAAAATAATAATTTTATAAACATCAGGACAAGATACATCAACTTCTACCAAGAGTTGCACTAAATAAAATACACGCCCTTAAAGAAGTTATAGAATCTTTTGTCCTAAAATCCATATAATTGAGATTTCTCACCCAATATCCTAAATAACCTTACATCTGGAAAAAATAAAGAAGAATTATATGAAGAAACCAAAGGAAATGCATAAGCAGTCAAGTTCATATCACATACAAGATGAAAAAACGTTCATGTTGCAAAATACTACACCAATTGCTTCGAGAAAGTGAGAGAGGATAGAAAATAAAGGAAACTTACGGGTCATTCTCAACAGACAAATAGAGAGGGTGCTCGACGGAGAAAGGGTCTATATCGCACAAACTTACGCCGGAATTAATTGATTAGCTTTCTAGGGCAAAAAAATCTTTGTCGGCCAAAAAATTGCCCTAATCACATCTTTGGCAGAAATGAAAAATCGAATAAATCTATTGTAAAGAGAAATAAAGTATTCTTTGGAGGGAACATCTTTTTAGATGGGAAAAGGAGAGAAGATCTAAAATAATAGGAGTAGTAAAATATTAAATTTTAGTGGCCATTATTTTTAGTTGTCGGTAAAGGCGTGTTTATTCCCGACAAATGTTTAATTGCCGCTAACATTGAGCTTTATAAAATGAATTAGCGGCAATTAGTTTATTGACACTAAATAATTGCCACTAAAAATCTTTTTTGTTGTAGTGGTCGTGCGATTTGATGTCTCAGTTCTAATTGAACTCTCTACTCTTGTTCTTTCGCAGATGGCGAGAACACGTACCGCTTCTTCAGCCGAGCAACAGCCAGAGCCCCTAGTGGCAGCTCCTACGAGGGGCAGAGGACGAGGCCGAGGCCGTGCTAGAGGCCGAGGCAGGGGTATGGTTCAGCCCAGAGCTCGAGTAGCAGCACCAGCGGCGAAGCCTCAAGTAGAGTTTGATGAGGAGGCTCCAGCCCAGACCGTTCCAACAGGGCCAGATCAGGTTCCAGACGGGTTCATCGCTAACCTGGTACTTCAAGATGCTTTGGTATATCTAGCGGGCCTTATGGAGAGTATTACACAGGCCGGCACATTTCCTGTAGCACCAGCCGTCTCTCAGGCTGAGAGGAGCCCAGACTCCCGCTACCCACACTCTGGAGCAGATGGCTCCTCAGTTTCAGACTCCAGCAGCTCAGCCCATTGGGGTAGTTCTGTCGGGTGTTGCAGCTCAGACCGGCGATGGATCAGCTATGTCTTTTGAGGCTTTGTGGAGATTGGATAGGTTTACCAAGCTTTTTACCACTACCTATGGCGGTACATCTTCAGAGGATCCCCAGGACTATCTAGACAGTTATCACGAGGTATTACTGAACATGGGGATAGTGGAGACCAAAGGGGTCGACTTTGCTGCCTTTCGTCTGTCAGGTTCCGCCAAGAAATGGTGGAGGGATTTTTGTTTGGCCAGACCAGCTGGGTCGCCAGCTCTTACTTTGGACCAGTTCTCTCAGCTATTTCTGGAGAAGTATCTTCCTATCACTTAGAGAGAGGACTATCGGAGGCAGTTCGAGTGCCTCCAGCAGGGTTCTATGATCGTCACTCAGTACAAGACTAGATTTGTTGATTTGGCCCGTCATGCTCTTCTTATACTTCCTACCGAGAGAGAGAGGGTGAGGAGCTTTATTGAGGGACTTGCTCAGCCTATTAGATTGCAGATGGCTAAGAAGACAGGGAGTGAGATTACTTTCCAGGATGCAGCACGACCCGGATTTTTCCACCCTCGAGGGTCGTGATGGCGCCTACTAATAGGAGCAAGACAAGCCACTTAATTAGCAATTTCATTAAACACTTGTTCCTTTTTAACAATTAACGGCATTAAATAAAGGCGACGGAAGTAAAAATCATAAGCGGAAGACTTACATGCAGATAGATGATCGATAATACAGAAGTTCCAACACATATATCTCTACCCCGGGACTGGAGTCACATACTCACGAACATCTAAGGAGTACTACATACAAAGTCTGAAAGAAACATAATCTGTTTATCTCGGGTACAATGAGATGACACCCAAATGTAAAGATAGAAGGGAGACACCGGGCCTGCGGATGCCTGCAAGCTACCTCGGGTCTCTCTGGACTGAAGGTTCGCCCCCGTGCTAATGCTGCTGCTGCTACTCAATACCTGGACCTGTGCAAAAATGCACAGAGTGTAGCATCAGCACAACCGACCCCATGTGCTGGCAAGTGCCTAGCCTAACCCCGGCGAAGTAGTGACGAGGCTAGACTGAACCTCACATAAACCTGTGCAATTATAAATATACAGCAGAAATCGAAGTACAAGGCAACTAACAGTATGCGAGGGGAAACATGCTGTGGGGAGATAACAATATTAACAGTAAATCCCAAGTAATCAATCCAGGTGCAATTTATAATTTTCGACGATCAAGAAACTAATACCAACACTAAGCACATTTGTATCACTAACTGTTGCGGCACGCAACCCGACCCTATTATATTTTAACACTGTTGCGGCGTGCAACCCGATCCACAACTATCACTGTTGCAGCGTGCAACCCGTTCCACAATTATCACTGTTGCGGCATGCAACCCGATCCACAATTATCACTGTTGCGGCGTGCAACCCGATCCACAATTATCACTGTTGCGGCGTGCAACCCGATCCACAATTATCACTGTTGCGGCGTGCAACCCGATCTGTGATGTCTACCTCTCAACCTTGCCCAAGCAACAGTCACAAATAAAGGGCAGGGAGTGAACAAGTATTTGGAAGGAAATCCCAACAAGGGTACACAAACAACCAATAATGACCATGCAAGAGTAAATCGTTATTTCTCTTTTTCTTTCATTTTCATATCCTAGTTCTCATTAGCACTCGTGACAAGCTCCAAAGCATTTCTCATCTCATATACTCTCACCATTTATGTTTCAGACCGAACCAATGCTCCACGGAGTTCCACAATCACAATATCCTTTACAAGGTGTTTACAACGCATAGAAGCCATCAATTAAGCATGGAAGGCATAACAATATCCAAACAGTCCACATACAAGGACTCACGGTCATGCTAGACACCGATGTATAGGAACTCGTCACCATGCCTATACATCGTACTCGATCATTTAGCAATTAGCAAACAAGACTCGACTCATATTCCCTCAAGCTAGGGTTAAACCAAACACTTACCTCAACTTCCACAGCCAATACAATCCTCCACAATCGCTTTCCCTCTCGAATTCGGCTCCAACTCAACCAAATCTATGCAATAAGGGCTTCATGATATCAATATGTGCTAAACAAATCAAACCCAATGATTAACTATAGCTTTTTCATCAGTTTACCCCAAAAGGTCAAAAATGCCCCTGGGCCCACATGGTCAAAACCCGAGGTTCGAACCAAAACCCGATTACCCATTCCCCCATGAACTCAAATATGTAAGTTATTTTGGAATCGGACCTCGAATTGAGGTCCAAAACCCCAAATTTTAGAAAACCTAGGTTCTACCCTAAATTCCCAATTTCCCCATTAAAATCTTTGTTTTGAAGTTGAAATTATGTTTAAGGATGTTTAAGGAGTTTAGAAAATCAGTTAGAAATCACTTACCAATCGTTTTGAAGAAGTAGAATCGTTTGGAAAATCGCCTCTTATGTTTTGGGTTTTGAAAAAGTGAAAAAAAGACTGAAAATCCCGACTTTATATACTGTACTGAAGACCCGGCGCGGACCGCACAAAAATGCCCCGCGGCCGCGCCGAGGAAGAGTGAGGAAACCACTCTCTGAACCTACCCAGCGCGGACCGCACTGTTTTGGAGCGCGACCGCGCTGGAGGAATGACCCAAATCCCACTCTCTGAATCTCCCAGCGCGGACCGCGCTGATTAGTCACGCGGCCGCGCTGGTCGACTTGAACCACTGGCCCTCTGAACCTAGCCACGCAGACCGCGCAAGTATGCACCGCGGCCGCGCAGCTTCCAGCGCGGACCGCACGGAATCGACCGCGGGCGCGCTGGGGGCTTGCAACTCCCTGAACATGCAACCATCTGATATTTCTAGCCTAAGACCTCCCGGGACCTACTCAAAACTCACCCGAGCCCTCGGGGCTTCAAACCGAACATGCATATAAACTCAAAAACATCCTACGGACTCATCCCTGCGATCAAATCGCCCAAACAACATCATAATCATCAAATTAGGCCTCTAGACCCAGGATTTCCTTCGAATTTTTCATAAAACATCAGGTTTAGAGTTTTTTAGTCCAAAACACGTCAAACGACGTCCAAATTCAACCAAACTTTACAGAAAGTACTCAAACCGTATATAAGACTTGTACCGGGCGTCGGAACCAAAATACGAGCCCGATACCACAGTCTTTTAATCACATTTCATTTCCAATTTCCTTATTTATTTTCAGAAAACAATTTCACACAAAAATTCATTTCTCGGGCTTAGGACCTCGGAATTTGATTTTGGGCATACACCCAAGTCCCATATTTCCCTACGGACCCTCCGGGACCGTCAATCACGGGTCCGGGTCTGTTTGCCCAAAACGTTGACCGAAGTCAAACTTAATCAACTAAATACCAAGATTTAACAATTTTTCTCACAATTTCATATTTAAACTTTTCCGGCTACGCGCCCGGGCTGCGCACACAACTCGAGGCAACCCCAAATGAGGTTTTCAGGGCCTCAGAAGTACAGAGGGAGTAGGAATACAGGTGATGACCCTTTGGGTCATCACATGTTGACAGACAAGTTGAGATGGTTCTAGCTCAGGGGAGTGGTCAGGGGCCTGACAAGAGGCCTCGTCGCTCAAGTGGATTCACTGGGGCCTCATCTGGAGGCCGGGGTACTTTTGGTAAGGGCCATCCTCCCAGGACGTTTCATTCAGCACTTTAGACATCCCATGGAGCTTCAGGGAGTCATGGTCCTTATGTACCTCCTTCAGGGCAGCCAGCTTATAGTGCACCGCCAGCTCCTATCAGAGCACCTCCTCTTCAGAGTTATTATCGCGGTCAGTCGGCTCGTCAGGGTCAGTCTCAGTTTCCACAGCCGCAGTATCAGGATAGATGTTCGAGTGTGGTAAGTATGGGCATATTCGGAGGACCTGTCCGAGATTAGTGGGTGTTCAGTCGCAGCAGTAGGGTTCTCGTGCCATGATCCCGGCACCGCCCGCTCAGCTAGCTAGAGGTAGGGGTTAGGGAGCCAGAGGTAGAGGTCAGCCTGCTAGAGTTGGAGATCAAGATGTTAGAGGTGGAGGCCAGGCAGCTAGAGGTGTAGGCCAGCAGGAGGTCGTTTCAGGGATATGGTTCAAAGTGGTGGGGCCCAGCCCCGATGTTATGCTTTCCCATCCAGGCCTGAGGCTGAGTCATCCGATGCTATTATCACAGATACTATTTCGATTTGCAGTAGAGATGTTTCAGTTCTATTTGATCCAGGGTCTA